GAAGGTTAGTTAAGGGTATCTTATAAAGTGTACTCCCCAAATAATAGTATAGGATATATACAATAAATCTTATAATAATAATGCATAACAAAATAATCACGTTCACCACTTTTATTTTCTTTGTACAAAAAAAAAATATATATACTGAAATTGTTTTCATTTACATAGCCAAATAGTTTTTCATTTACATACATAAAATTAACTATTTAATTTAAAGAATATTATATTGAAATACAAAAACACATAATATTCAAATTTAAATCCGCTATACATCGTTACTTAAAGAAATTTATGTTTTTGTATCTATATCTTAAAAATTGATGACTAAAATATATAAATCGTACATTATATATAATATATAAATATAAATATATAAATAATACAAAATAATCGTTTATATCAATATATAATTTTTAAATTATTTATATTCCAATTTTTTTAACAAATATATAGTCCCGCAGTGTACCGCGGGTAGGGGTGTCAAAATGGTTTAAAATTGATGGATCAATCCAAACCAATCCAACTCATGGATCTAATGAGTTGAAAATTTGGATATTAATGGATTAATGGATTAAATGGTTTAATGAGTTTAATGAGTTGGATTGAAATGGTTTGATTTAAAATGGATTACTGGGTTATCCATAACCAAACCAATAAAAATTATATAATTGAAATCAAACATGTAAACCAAATATAACCGAATTGAATCACTAAACCGATTTTAGTAAACCGAAATAAACATAATTTTCTTAAATCGCTTAACCATCGATCTTTCTCGGCGTCAAATCTCTCACTGTCGATCCCTCTCAATCTTATGGTTTCACCGGCAAATCCATCGACAACGTTAAACGACGAAGCCAACAACGCCGTTCACCGGCAAAGTCACTGACACTCGAATCCCTCATCGTCACTCATGGAGTCCTTGGTCGTCGTTTTGTGATCAATTTATGAACCAATATCATAGTTACAAGTATTTCGACGACGACGACGACGACAACGACGACGACGGCGGCGACGACGACGACGACGACGACGACGGCGGCGACGACGACGACGACGACAACGACGACGACGGCGGCGACGACGACGACGACGACGACAACGACGACGACGACGACGGCGACGACGACGACGACGACGGCGACGACGGCGACGACGATGACGATGACGATGATGGTGATGATGATGGTGGTGGTGAATTGATGAAGATGGAGTGATGAAGATGATGATGGAGTGATGATGATGATGGTGGTGGTAACATGATAGTTACTAATTATCAATTAATTAGGATTTAAATTATAAGAAAACTATGTTATGGATCAACTCATTAAATCCATTAATCCACTCATTTAAATGAGTTATGGGTTAATCCAAACCATTTGCTAAATGAATTGGATTGATTCATTAACCATTAAACACTAAATCAATATGGATATGGGTTGGTTTGGTTTGATTTAACCAACTTGACACCCCTAACCGCGGGTCAATCTCTAGTTGCTTAGATCAGTAAGCACAACAAATCAATAGTAATCACATTATCACAAAATAAATTAGCTTTTTTTTATTCCCAGAATGGACAAACAAACCAAATCCAAATCTTGAAGCCATTGGATACGACTAAAGCCATAAATAAAATCAAAGAATTATAATTATTTGAAGAATTGATTTGTAAGAAAACGAACATAATAGACAAAGATATGCAACCGTGATGCTGTGAAATGTATGATGTCTTTATTTATAGAGTGGGATAAAATTTTAATAATTTAGGTTTAGCCACACAAATCTGTTTGTAAGCAATTATAGTTTGTTTCAAAAATATTTAGAAAAATCTTAAATTTATTATGATATTAACGATTTTTGTATTTCTCATTAAAAACAAAATATGGATTAACATGGATCCTATATTTTGCATAACAAATATAGAAAATAAAGATTATTTATAGACTTAATTATAGTAAGAAACAATTGATACCACATATAAAAAAATCATAACCATAAATACTGCTAAATTTATTTGCAAACTTAACTAATATGGAATCAAATCAATGGATTCGATTTTTTTAGGAATATACTGCAAATACGAATTTGAATAGTAGTTATTAGTTTCTATAAAATCAAAACAATTATATTGGTGGGAGAATTTTGAAATTAAGGAGGACTTAGGGCCTGACTGGTTTAAACGCAGCGGTTGCGGGAGTTTGCGGAAGCGGGCGGTTGCGGTTGCGGGAGTTTGCGGAAGCGGGCGGTTGCGGCTTCAAGCGTTACCAAGCGTTTTGAACGACTGGTTTAGCGTTTGAAAATGATTGCGTTTGCGGGAGTTTTATGACTGGTAAATCAGCGGGTGCAGTAGCAGTTAAATAAAAAAAATGACCAAAATAAATAAGAAATATTACTAAAAAAAAAGAAATAAAAACACCAATATATTATTATGATAATATTAGAAAAATTGAACATTCTTAATAATTAAAACCATAAATAAAGTACTAAATAATTATGCATCTGGTTTAACACCAAAAATTTCATCAAGTAATGGGACAAACTGAAAATAACGTTGAATTCGCGGATTTCCCAGATTTCTTTTACAAATATTATAAAATTTCTTATAGGTATCCAAACGATTTTTAACACAGCTCCAACTCAAATCAATTCCAAACTGGTCGTTAATATTCTTAAGACATATATTCAATCAAAAAGCAAAACAATACATAATGAAAAGAAAAAAAAAGATGCCATGAAAAATATTCAAAGAGTTACACATGAGGTGATGAATGAATAAAAGGATATATGATACTTACGTTTGTTTCTTGATTTTCATCAGTTTGGGTGGAAGACATAATTGAGAGAATAAGGTTTCAGAATATTGATTAAGGTTTTCTGATGAGAACGTGATACAAAGTTGAAAGATATATGATTAATATATATTATAATAATTATAAGTAAATTTTTTCTTTTTTAAATCCAATCGCTACCGCCCGTAACCGCAAACGCTTGCAGGAAGGAGCTTTTGAAATCCAGCGATTTGGAACGGTTCGAAGCGGTATGGAGTGGTTTCTATGATTGGTACCAACCACTAACAACCGCAACCGACCGCTAGCAACCGCTAGGCGGGTGCAGGCGGGAGAACCAATCAAGCCCTTAGGGCCTGACTGGTTTAAACGCAGCGGGTGCGGGTGCGTCTGCGGGAGTTTGCGGAAGCTGGCGGTTGCGGTTTCAAGCGTTATGACGCATTTTGAACGACTGGTTAAGCGGTTGAAAATTGGTGCGTTTGCGGGAGTTTTATGACTGGTTAACCAGCGGGTGCGACAACGGTTAAATCGAAAATAACCAAAAGAAATATAATTTATAATTATATAATAAAGTATAAAAACACCAAATATTTATATTATTATGATAAAATATAAAAAAATTATATATAATTAATAATAATAGTATATATAAAATTACTACATAATTATTCAAAATAATATATTTCATAGTTAAGTGCTTATTACTTCATGTATTTGGTTCATAAAAAAACAGCATCAAGTAATATAACAAATTACAAAACAAATAATATGACAAACTAAAAAAATATTTTTTTTTGGAATTCTTAGATCCTCTGGATTAATAATTTTATTACAATACTTAGTTCGTATTTTTTCATTCTTGAGTTTAGATTGACGCTGTAATTTTGGTAAATAGAAAAAATTTGAGTTTTGAGGATTAGCGTTAATATATATAGGGTTTGATAAAAATATTTAATTTAACTGTTGTTTATGTATTGTTTAATATATATAGGATTTGAATTAAAAAAAATAAAAAATTATGCCAACCGCTACCGCCCGCAACCGCAAACGCTTGCGGGAAGGAGCTTTTGAATTCGGCGGTTTGGAGCGGTCTAGAGCGGTTCGAAGCGGTTTAAAACGTTTTTTATGATTGGTTTTAAATGCTAGCAACCGCAACCGTCCACAAACGCTGCGTTTGCGGGTGGTAGCGGAAGAACCAATCAAGCCCTTAATAGTTGCTATAATCGATTTGATGCATATATATATTGTTAAGATATCTTTATACATTTGGTTAAGACAATATCTTCTCAAATAGATTTTCGTAGGGTTTAGAAAATTGAAATTTGAAGTTGTATATGTTTTGTTAATTTTTTTTTGTTTTATTTAGTGTTTAAAATTTTATAATTATATTTTGATTGTTAATTCTAAGATTTTACCCATAGTTTATCATCCCATATTAATATCGACACAAACTCGTCACGCCTTATAACACTTTTACGTGAAATTAAACATCATTTTGTCATTTTTAATAAAGTTTAAATATTTTTAATATTTAAAACTTCATAAAATTTTTAATATTGACCCAACTTTCATAATTGTATTTTGATGGTTATATCTAGGATTTCACCCGTTGTATACCGCCCCGTATTAATATCTTTTATAAATATTTATAATGTTTAAACTTCTTTTACAGTTCAAATAATTACAATAATTATAAATATTTGAAACGTTTTTTAAAGTTTAAATAATTACAATATTTTGAAACTTTTTAAAAGTTTCAATTCTTTAAAATAAAGAGTCGGAGTAAACCGGATAATACTTTTAGTTTTGGAAGCCTGATAAATCATGTTTCCTCGTTATTCGTATTCAAAATTATTTTGGTCCTTTTTATTGTATGACTTTGAACCATTGCCTAATTTTTTAAGCAATGTGGGACATTGTACACATATTTTTTGCTTCATCGATTGAGTAATATATGCCAGTTTTTAGAAATTTGAATCACATCATATCTAAAAAAATCTAATATTTTATTCATTATATGTATTTTATATAAATTCAAAATAATTTAAATATAAGATCAAATAGAAGTGAAAGAAAAATCATATATTTATGCTAAAATTAAGTAGAGAGATTTTAGGAAATTAGCAATTAATCAAATGTAGTGAAGTTATCTTTGTAAAGTTTGGTTAAGACAATCTCAGATTGTGTCTGTTCTTTCTCGAGAACCCGAAACCCTAATTTATTGACGAATAGAGAGAAATTTTTAATGGAAACATCAAACTCCACAAATGTTTCAGAGGCGATGGTAATAGAGATACTAGCGAGGTTACCATTAAGAAGCATCTCCAGATTCAAATTGGTGTGTAAAACATGGAAATTGGCAATAGAATCTGTGTATTTCCGCCGTCTCTTTGTATCTCTGCACCAAAATTCCTCTTCCTCTTGGTCACTACTGTGCGGAAAAAAAGAACTCATAAACCTGCATGGATGCGAGACATGGGGTCTTCCAAAGTCTCTAGCTTCGTATTTTCCGAATACTGTAACCGGTAATTTATGTTATGCGGCTTCTTCCTCTGGATTGGTATTGATGCACAGGTCTAATGAGGCTTCCTATGTGGGTAATCCAGTATTACAACAGTGGCTTAGAATCCCTGTCCCTCCATATCCATATGTCACTATTGTCTTAGGTTTGGTGATGCGCCTGGACGAGGACGGCATTGTTCTGGGCTTCAAGGCAGGGGCGGAGGGAGTGTAGACTCATAGGGGTCAATTGACCCTGGTGAAATTTAAAAAAATAGCTGAACTCTTATAAAAAAAAATTATTGACCCCAATCCAATAAAAATATTGACCCTTGTAAAAAAAATTTATGTTACAAGCCCAATTATTATACTGTATTTATAGATAATATTAAGCCCAATAAAATTTATTTTAAGTAAATATACTACAATTTAACTAACCTAATATTTTAACATTTATTTTGAGCTAATCTAAAATTTGTTTAGCTTTTTCTTATTTATTCTTTGTGTTTTTAATCAATCATCGATCGTGTGATGATGGAGACAAAAAAATATCTTTCACATCGACTTTTGAAGCTATTTTATATGTATTTTTAAGAAAAAATTATTTTGACCCCGGTGATTATATTTTCTGGCTCCGCCACTGCTTCAAGGTCGTTAAGTTGGCTTCACTGGTACCGAGGAGAGACGAATCATCAACTTGTTTGTGTCTGTGTTTGTATTCGTCTGAGACTGGCATATGGACTTGCAAGCGACTTCACTGCCCGCGTTACTTCACCAGCCTCTCTAGTCCTATGAGTCTGAATGGGACGCTTTATCTATCACAAACAAGTTTCGATCTTGCTGCTCAACCTGGAGCACTTATGGCTCATGATTTCTATTCTGAATCCGATCTATGCCGGGTCATACTTCTCCCCGATCATAATCTGAATCACAACCGGGACTTTAAAAGAGGTTTGACTACATCCAGGGGATCTGTCATGTATATAAAAACATTAGCTCAACAGGGAGACAATCTTTTGAAGGTTTGGAGGTTGATGATCAATGATTCAGAGGATGAAAGCTGGCAAATTCTGTGGGAAATCCACGTCCCGTTTGATGATATCAGATATTATGTACCCATGGCAATGCATCCATTTGATGACAATATTGTCTATTTATGGAGTCAAGAAAACAATTATTTGGTATCATGTAACTTGCGAAGACAAACCTACAAGATCCTTGGAGATGATGATCATCAAGATTGTTATATAAACCAGTCTATTTGTGAAAAGTATATGGATCGTACTTTTAGATCAAGCTCAGCTCGAGAGTATGGTGTACTGGTCAAACTATTACAATTCGTGCTCCCACAATGGATGGAATCGTTGCCTCGTCCTCCACAAGTCGACATGATAGATACAACTTCAATGCTTTTTCACATTTCTTCCCTGCCGAGAAAAGAAGAAGAATAGACGCAAACATTGGTTTTTGGATTCAATGATTTCAGTATGGTTTTCGGTTCTTCCCTTTCTTTTTTTTTTTGTTTTTGTTTTGTTCTTTCTTCTTTTCTCATCTCTTGCTAATAAAATTGGATTTTTCGTATATGTCTGGCTCCAATTGGTAGCCATTTTTGAGGAAAAGAATGAGTAGATATATCATGTTCTCTTTGTTCATCATTCTTTTTTTACCAGTTGTAAAGAATTTTTGTTCTATTTTGAGACATGTGGATCATACATTTTTCTTCTTCATTCCTCAAAAAAAAAAAAAAAAAAAAAAATTGTTCCTGCTCAAAATTGTAGAGGAACAAAGAGGAACAAACATATAAATTTTGTAAATACTTATGAATTTATTTTAAATAAGTATTTATGCTTAAGTAAATAAATAAATGGTTTCAAGTGAAATTTACATTATTTTTAAGTAAAATATTTAAATTTATACAACATTTTATTTTAAATTTATATAAAACATTAACTTTATGAAATTTATAAAATAAATCAAATAAATGATTTTTTTTAATAATTATTATGTTGAATATTTATTCAAATTTTTGGTTACCATTTACTATAATCATTTGTTCAATTCTTATATTTTTTTTGGTTCCTGGTTTTGGTCATTTTCTTTTCATTTTTGTTCTTTTTCATTCATTTTTTTTCCATATTCGGCTATTCCTATTGTTCTTTTTACTGTCACCAATCAGAGCAATATATTTGTCAGATAAATTTTGTAGGGACTAAATATATAATTACAAAATTGTAAAAGGATTTTTGGCCCAAAATCTTCTCTAAAAATGTATGTATAGATACAAAAAACACAACCTTAAATAGATGTTTTACCGTCATAGCGGTTCGTAACTTTCGAAAACCTACAAATAAAACAACACGACGTATCCAATAACTCACGGTTATAACACTCATCTATTAAATTTTCATACACACTCATTTATATAATTAAAATAACTTTCGACCAAACTCAATAATTTAACAGTTAGATACAAATTTTTAATCTAAAATATTTTTATCCCTATTAGTTCAGTTTATTAATAAAAAAAAGAGAAATTATTATCAAAAAAAAATAATTTAACAGTTAGACTTGGTTATTTGCTATATATTTGCACATAATATATTGCCACTACCTCGTTTATGAGTTACTAAGAAGACGTGTATTAGATTATATATTGGTACATTGTCCCGGACTCCCAGTTTACTATTTTCGCTTGGTTTACTCTTTTATCTTGGTTTAGATATTTATATATATATATATATATATATATATATATATATATATATATATTTTTGGGCAAAAGATATTTATATTTAAGAAACAAATAATGTTTATTTTACACTTAGGGGGGTATTGGACGAGAGAATTTGGTAGAATTTAATGGAATGTTAAATTCTAGTGTTATTCAAGTAGGTATTTCATGAATTCTTTGAAATTCTAATGTTATTCAATTTTTTAATTTCTTAATTCTATCAAATGCAAGTGTTATTCAATAATAAGTAGTTTTGGATGAAAAAGTTATTTGACAAAAATTTAATAGAATTTCTAGTGTAAAAACGTAAAGAAAAATTCTGAGCTTTTAGGTTGAGAATTGGATAGAAATATATAAATAGGGCTTCAAATGAAATGACGGATATGTGATTTGTGAATTTGTGAATCATATTAGGAATTTGTGATTTCATCATTTGAATTTGGCGTGGATTTGATAACATAAAAATTAGTGTTTGACGTCTCTGGTGACGTCTCTGGGGGAGACATGGAGACTTTCACCGGAGAATGGTGCAGTTAGCGTCTTGACGGTGGAGGTGGGAGCATTTCCGGGAGGATTGAATCAGGGAGTGTAAGAATTATGTGACGAAATAGAGATGATGATGCCTCCTCTGTTCATGACCAGATTATAAACCCAACCAATAGAGGAAGAAGATGAATAGTATAGATTGGGTAGATGGGTTAGATACAATTGATTTTTGACATTCTCTTTCTATTTTCTTAAAAGTTTCGGTTTATAATTTCTAGCAAATTCTATTAAAATGTTGAAAATTACAATAATTAGAATTAAATAATTCCTTAAAAATCTGTAGCTTACGTCTCTAATTCTATCCAACTGAATTCTATTAAAGTCTTTCATCCAATACCCCCAATGAAGCATAAACATAATCTAAAAGAAAAGTTTGTTAGATCTGAAATGGTATCAGAGCTTTTTTTCTTCAAGCTTCATTCACCTCTTCCGCAAGCTCAAATCATCTTCGTTTCATTATTGAAAACAAGGAGATACCGTGGCCAGCAAGATACAAGAATGTTGTAGGTAAGTATCTTGTAGAAAATAAAAAAGTTTATTGTATTCAAGATACAAGAATGCATAACTATGTGAATACAATAAACATTACTTAGGAAGGTATAATCAATACCAATTAATAAAAAAAAGTAATGTTTATTGTATTCACATAGTTATGACAAAAAAAAATTTTTTTTGCCAAATTTCCCAGGAAAAAGAACTATCTTGTAGAAAATAAGAGAGCAACATAAATAATTTAGATGCGCTCCGTTTTAGAAAAACATGAAAAAGGAAAAAATCAAAGGAAACCATACCATAATTAGACAGTGGGTTCTATCACACCACACATTCTTTACTGGCCACATTGCTTCTCTATCAGTGAAAGTGGGAGGCAAAAGTACTTGATTATTCCAACAAAATCTCTTTGGTTCTTTTGACAAAAAAAAAGAAAAGAAACAAAATAACTAAATCTCTTTGTTTATGTCACAGTTAATACATTTCCAGTCTCCTAAGATTTATCTATGTCTATGCAAAAGAAAGTCTTAGGAGAGATAAGTTACTCATTTCTACATTTACTTGGAATTGTAGTCTTGAAGGAAAAGCTCTTATATTCGGTACACAAGTCCTACATTACAATGAGACTGGTCTAGATTATTCCTACAGTTTCTCTCTAATCCTCTCTTTGGAAGTGATTTTATATACTAGGTTAGTCCATTTAATTTTAATTGAGGTACTTATTAGGGAGATTATTGGTGTGAACGGGGTCACTGATCTTGCAAATTCCCAAGATATTACATCAATATGTACAATTACATTGGACTGAGAATTGATTCCTTGATAACTTCTAGCAATTAGATTAAACATTAATACGTGTTTCTTGCCTAAAACGGAACTGTCTCGTTCTAGATCTAGTCCTAATGTTAGAACATTTCAGGAAAACTTGGGGACAAAGTAGATTCGTGTCTTGTTGTTGTACACGCCCAAGATAGAGCTTGATATAAACCTGATTCTAGTGAATTCCGGGACAAGAAGTTTCCCGGCGTGAGTAGAGTTTCAGATTGAGACCTGAACACGTAAAAGCTCCACCTTGCACATTTACTTTCTCTGAAATTCTCTGTTTCTTGTTCTGTTTTCAAGTCCTTTTCAAAGTTCTTTACAAACGAGTGCTAATCCAAGAGAGACAGTGAGTTTATTCGGCAAAAAAGTGAGTTTTATGAACCTCTCACTGTAAAATTTGGACTCTGAATGTTGTTTTGAGTCTTTGGATTTGCAATTATATGTTCTGTTTATGGTATAATTTCAGTTATGGATCTGTAATCCAGTTATGGAAGAGAAAGTTGTATGTGTAAAACAAACTTATAACATGCTGTTGATTTGTCTGTGTATGTATAACTTGTTGTGGCTTTTGTATTTTGACATGTTTCAGAACATGGTTTCTTGCCGGACCGTTGTGGTGGCTATGTTGGTGGTATTGGTCACAGTGCAGTGGTTGGGATATACCTTTAGTTTTGCTGAAGGTTATCCGGAAGAAGATTTGGTGGTGAGGCTGCCTGGTCAACCGAAGGTCGGGTTCAGACAATTCGCTGGATATGTCGATGTGGACTTGGAGAATGGTCGTAGTCTTTTTTACTACTACGTGGAGGCTGTAAAAGAACCTGACACTAAGCCCTTAACCCTTTGGCTCAATGGAGGTCTCTGTTTTGTTTCTCTGTTTCTGCATAATTTTTAAGCTACTTCCTTAGTTTAGAATTTTGGTATAAAAAAATGTGTGAATTAAATTTTATATTTGAGGTTTGTATTGCAGGTCCAGGTTGTTCTTCAGTTGGTGGAGGAGCTTTCACTGAGTTAGGTCCGTTTTATCCCACGGGCGATGGCCGTGGCCTCCGCTTGAACTCCATGTCTTGGAACAAAGGTTTGTTTTTTCATGACAATTTTATGCAAAAAAACAGAGAACTCTGTGATTCTACATTTTGATGCTATTGTCTCTTGTTGTGGTATGTGTAGCTTCGAACTTGTTATTTGTGGAGTCACCAGCCGGAGTAGGATGGTCATACTCTAACAGAAGCTCTGATTACAACACCGGGGATAAGTCCACTGGTAAATCTAAATTCAATATTTCAAACTATATTAATTACAAGACTGTTGTTTCCTAACATGTTTTTGTATTTGAACAGCCAATGATATGTTTGTGTTCTTGTTGAAATGGTTCAACAAGTTCCCAGAGTTGAAGTCTCGCGGCCTCTTTCTCACTGGCGAAAGCTATGCAGGTGTGTCTCTGATTATTCTGATTCTTAGTTTATGAAATGGCTATGAGAGTACCAATTTTTCTGATCTTTATTATTCTGAAGATGTAATTCATTTAGCTTAACAATATAGTTTGGTGTTTGATCATGTTACTTGTTAGTGGTTTTGCCTTTTGTCTAACCAAGATTTGATTTGATTCTCTCACAGGACATTACATACCTCAACTGGCTGATGTGATACTCAGCTACAATTCACGCTCAAGTGGGTTCAAATTTAACGTCAAAGGCATTGCAGTAAGCAAAAGAACCTTCTTCTTGAGTCTTGACGTTTCATCAACTCTTTTCACTCTCTTCTGATTTCTTTTTGTGTTTTCTGTCTTTCTGTTCAGATTGGGAATCCACTTCTGAAGCTTGACAGGGACTTTTCAGCTGCATACGAGTTCTTCTGGTCGCATGGGATGATCTCTGATGAAGTAAGACTCACAATCATGAGCCAATGTGACTTCGCCAGTCCTCAGAATATGAGCAATGTCTGTATAGATGCTATCATTGAATCCCGCATCGTCACTGAGTATGTCAACTA